TATATATATGCATGGGTGTGTTGCTGTCAAGGCTGTGAAGCCAGGCTGTCAGTGTGATGGATGGCGAAGCTGTAGATGGATGGATGATGTCAGACTCGGGTCTGTCTCTGGAACATCGTCTGCTGTCTCGTGTTCTTTAATGAGAACAACCTTTAGCTCCTCCAGGTCCTCCAAAGAATACTCATGGCCCTGCTGGGCTTCGGTGCTTCTACCTGAGTCATGYATATCGTTCGGTGCACGCTGGCTGCGTTCTTACAGTGTAAATGTTTATTTGCAACGTTTTAGGATGTTCTCATTACTTATTCATGATTTTGTAATGGATCGGTTAGATGTGATGTGTCATCTGTTCATGTTTTGTTGAAGACCGTTCTGCAGATAAGACACCAAGCTCTAGTTACTGAAGGAAGAGATGCTATCCCTTCACATTTGTTTGCTTCACAGTGTTTAGATTGCATTAACATTTGTAATTATTATAATGTCATAATTAGTCAATTACATCCCTATGTAGAGACTGGTACGGGTGTCTCTGAACACTGTGTTGTTTCTCCACTAATGGTTCTGCCTTTTATTTTTGTGCTGTTGTTTTTGTTTTGCTGTATTGTGTTGGCTGTGGTGTTCTATTTGCTTTGCAGCCCCTAAACTGCCAATAGACCCTTGCTTTGAGGGTGTGYATTTGCATCAATTAGTAATCTGAGTGGGCTCAACAACAAGGATTCACACAAAACGAAGCCAAAATGGGAGCGTGTTACTGTGTTAAAATGAGTTTCAGATTTGATTCAAATAGTGTTCAGATTCAGACAAGTCTTTATTTCACTGCTAAACGTCTACATGTTGACTGTTCACTCCTGTTTTCCGTGCTGTTTGCACAGCTGCATCTTCATATAAAAAACGTAAAACAAAAGGTATCCCCTGTCTCTCCCTCTAATTTCCTTAGTTGATAAGTGGAGGTTCGGTCGTCAATGCTGAGGCGGTATGGGACCACGTGACCATGGCAGATCGGGAGCTGGCGTTCAAGGCCGGTGATGTCATCAAGGTGCTGGAYGCCTCCAACAAAGACTGGTGGTGGGGCCAGATTGACGAAGARGAAGGATGGTTCCCTGCCAGCTTTGTACGGGTGAGTTGGAAGCAGCCAACGATTGGAGACACAACAGATACCCCTCACACATACTTGTAGAACTGTTAGCACAGGCTGACTGTATAAARGTTCAATTACACAGAAAATAAACCAAACCTTCATGTCCACAGGCACATGGGTTAGCTTAGCTTTTTCTATTCAAGAACAGTAAAACAAAGATGCTAATGATCATCTTTACTTCCTGCCTCTGATGAAATTATTYATACAACTAATGCAAGACTGGATATTATATAGTTTTATTTTGTATCACTGTTGAATGGTGGACCTCAACTTTAAAAACATCACAGCCATAACATTATGACCATTTACAACACCACTTTACAACTGTACAAGCACAGTTGTTAGAACACAATGTTTTGCGGAAGAAAACAACATCTTCCACTCACACAAATGTTACTTGGATACTTGTCACCCACTATAAAGAATTTTTTGAAGACCAGTCAAATTTTTCACAAAGCAGCAGCAACACCCCTTGATAGCTGCCGCCCCCTTTGACAACAAAAAGCAAAAAAACAAAACAAAACAAAACAAAAAAAAAACGTGACAAACAGCCTCAGTGAGCTGTTCATCTGCCTTAAACTCCTGCAATAAAAATTAGTAGGAAGCAAGCCTGACAAAGGCACTACTAGGAGTGGATGATTCATGCTCAAAGTTATATGATAACATATCAAGGAGATTTGTGGTAAGAGTATGTTTAACGTCGTAGCAAAATAAATCAATCAATAGATAATCCTAAGCTTTTTATCCCGGATTGCAGTTTGCAGGTAGCCACATTTACTAGTGCAAAAAAAATACTATTTTCACTTTTTTTTCTTCTATGACTGGCTGAGCATGATGACAGTCTGATGCTACGTTCACACCGAACGCGTTTTGAGCGGCCAAAAAGTGCAAAACGTCTCTCGTTGGACGCACTATTTTCAGACCGAAGAACGCACTAGTGTTCAGACCAGACCAAGCAGCGGCAGCAGCAAGGTGTGGGAGGAGCGTGTCCTCGGCGGGTGAATAAAGATAAAATAAAAGAAAATGCCTTTGATTTATTTACTAAAGAGCAAGTGAACGTTGCGCGCAGCAGATAATTAACTCACCAGATGATTTAGAGGCGATTTGTTTGGTTAGTTTAGTCACTCCAGAAGCTGCCAGCTGACGGACTTTTTTTTTTTGGTCCTGAGCAGCTGATCCACATCGGTGCTGATATATCCTGCCAGAAAATCCAACTGCACAYGGTCGATTTCAGGTAAAGATCTCCAGTCCGTCTGTTTCGGTTTTCAGTGGGAGACGCGTCGAGCGGCGAAAAGTTCAGATATTTGAACTCTGGCGGCGGCTCGGGCGGCGGCGGCGGCTTCCGCAGTACCGCATGCACGGAAAACGCTCTGCGCCCCTTCCGCCTTCCTTGCGCGCCGCCCAAAACGTACGTGGCGCGACGTACGACCCCTAGAGGCGCGTCCTCATAGACTTTGCATGTAAATTGGCCGCTCCTGCCGCTCAAAACGCATTCGGTGTGAACGTACCATGACTTTATTCAAGGGTTTGCAACAGAGATATGTTATTAAGGTAAATGAGAGTTACTGTATAAAGTATGCTAGGTTGTGTTTTCTTTGTAAATGTTTGTTAAAATTGTGATTTAAGTTCCTAATAAAATGATGTGATTATTTATTTAGTAATTTTAACTTTTAAGTCTTTGTCAATCTGCACAACACACTGTCACCAAATAAAACTAATGTCAAACCTAAAGATCATCTGAACAAACCTATCAAAATACAAAGACTGTAAAGACATTTAAACCTCAGTCRAGTAAAGTGAAAGCTTAGTCCTCCTATCATTCTAAGTGCACATCACTATTAACACAGCAGTTCTTTGTTGAGTCATTGGTTTAATTTTTGATCGCACTTGGAGCTGCTTGTGTCTCTTTCTTTAATGCTTTTATTGCTTCGATGTACTCCATAGTGATTTTCTTTAACAAGTAAAACAAGTTATTTTGTTTCTTAGCAGTAACATYGTTCTTACACATTTTAAAAGATTTTAGGTTTTGTTGAATTTCTCTCCTCCCGTTCTTAAACCACTTTCACATTATTGAGTTAGCTTCTGGAAGCTAAGACGACATTTTAACCCTCACTGGGTCCACTACACATTGGTGTGATGCTGCATGAGCCAGGCAGACAACATTTTGGTCTTCCAATGAAAAAAACTGCATTATATTTCCATCACGACTATGGTGGAGGTACCTTTCTCGTTGCTGGCTCCAAACAAGGTTTTCATCATATGCACCAGTTGACAAACACAAACTCTGCTTTTAACTACATGTATGAGCCTGGAACTACTGTGAAGTCACTGTTAACATGTTGTGTGCACCTCATACCATTTATATGGTGGCATGAACCTTTTTATAGTACAGAAAGTTGTATCAATATTATAAACAATGTGATACACTCTCAGAAACAAGTAAACTGTATATTCAGAGGTACAAAGGCTYATCACTGGGGTGGTATCCTCAAAGGTACTGTTTTTGTTTTCTCAGCAGTGGGTATTTATTGGTACCCTTGCAGATTGTATTTTATAGAGAACAGTCTTCTTCTGGTGGGATCATTAAAATGTCCACAAATGGCTTTAACAACTATTGTTCCATTTCCTACCATAATCTTATGATTTACTAAAATTTGACATGGACCTCTATAGAGGTGACATTGGAGCATCATTTATAAAGGCTGTTTAAACTTGACAGGACATAATCCATCCAGTCTCTCTGAACTGGTTATGAGACTTTTTTTCRCTTGAGCATTTTATAATCAAAGAGAAACTGTAGTGAGAAAATCCACCCACTGTCCTCCCACTGCAGCGYACATCACGCGTAAAAAGAAACAACTACACAACAGCACAGTTGGCAGAATGGATGTTTATTTTCAGTTGATGATGATGGAGGTGGAAGAWATGGTATTTTTGTTGTTAATCGAGAAGCGCTACTTTACACATCACAAAGAGACCACAAAAATTTCTCACCAACGGTGTGGGAACATTTCCTTATGCTGCCCGGCCGAGGCGCACTCCCTCCCAAACAGCAAAGCCACGGAGAGCCGCCTGTGTCTCTACGCTGTCTCTTTCATGCACAAAAGTTGGACTATGTCCTTCCAGTTCTTTGACTATCTTTCTGAAATGTATTTGATTATCTTTGTAAGATTTGCTAGAACAGTTGTACAGATGACTAAATTATTTAACTTCCCCCGACAACTGCCTCTCAGCCAAGCAGTGTGCAGCTGCTTTTCTACATAAACACATAAAGAAGTTCAGACTAATCACAAAATACTCGGGTCATTCCCTGTGGGACAGTGGTCCTGACAGGGCTTTGCACATAACAGGTTCTTGAGGGCGGTTTGAGAACAAAAAGACAAAATGTTTGTAATGTAGCCACACGAGAGACACAAATTCAGCACATCTCAATGAGTACAACTAAGCCTTTAGTCTTTTATCTATTATGTCAAGTTTACCTAAATGGGATATGAAACCCTGCTCACTTAATCATTTAATTAAAACGTAATTAACTATAGCAATTTTAGGAGTTTATTTTAAAAACAAGTTTACACAACATTTRTTTCAATATGACCTCATAAACTTTTGGTAAACAATACTTTCAAATAAAACCTTGTAAAGGCTTATGACTTCTTTTAAATCAAACCCAAATGGTCTGTTGACATTGCACCCTAACCTTTAAAATCATTTCATCAAACTTTATTTATAAAGYACAGTTCATGCACAAAGCAACACAATGGGTTTTCCATCAAGTCCTTAAAACACAAAAGAACCATAGATTCATAACACATTCTTACAGATTCAACCATAAACACACACACTGAAAATTTTGATAAAAACACACAAACAATACAGACTTAATCATATGCTTTTGCAAAAAAGAAAAGTACATATTTTTTTTCTAAAAATATCAACAGTAGGAATTTTTTAAGATCCATTATTTTCCATTTCTTTGGGCATAAACAGGCAGCTGCCAATGATTTGGTAAATGTTGGAGGTATAGCTAAGTTACCATGGTCTGACCCGAGTGATCTGACTAGTGTATAATTAGTTAACATGTCTTTTRCATAAYGTGATGAAAGACCATTTAATGCTTMGTGTACAAGTAGGAGTTTGGAATTGAATCTGCTTATGGTAGGAAGCTAATGCAGAAATCTAATATCAAATTTTCTTGTACCTGTGCAAAAATCATATATATGTAACGTAAATGTATATAATATAATTGTACCTTTCAGACCCTCATAGAGGTACACTTTAAGGTCCACTACTCAAACCCTAAGGGTAGATAATTTTAAATTGCACCACTGGGAACAAAAATGTACTTTTTCCGTTTTCCTTATTTCTGACTGTTTGACACAGTCATAGATTTCACCTCACAGTCACCCAAACCCAAATATTCTGTTCCCCATGTCCTGATACCACACACTTCTGATCAAACTTTTTAACCCATAGCATGAACAATCAAAATTGAGATGGTGGGAAAAAACACCATCTGTAGGTGGTTATAATGTTATGGCTGATAAATGCATGTTAACAATTATCAGGTCTTAAAATGTATAAAATATTGTATAACATTGATCTACATGCTTGTTTTCTGTTTTGTTGAAAGCAACACGGTACATTTCTCACAAAAGGATAGTTTGGCGACTTGAAATTTGCATTTCCAATCCATTCTCACTCCCGACTCGTCAACATATTGACGCTTGGTCAGGTAGCCATCTGTTTCCAGCTTTGGACGTGTCGGGTACCCCCCCACGCATCAGTTCTTCATGAGATTAGGCGGAGGAGCACGTTGTCATATTTTTTGAAAAGAGTAGGAAATGCGCGACAATTAACTGTCCCAGACCCTTAATATACGTAACTTCTATAAGCCCTAGACATCCTATCCCTGACCTCAGTACCTAAAATTAACCATTAATCCTGATCCCTCATATTAACCGCAGACCCCCAACCCAAAGACCCGTAAGTGGCGCAACCCGGAAAAGCTGCGGGCGGCAATGACCGACGCGAGGGGGGCACCTGACGCGTCAAAACTGGATGCAGACGATCCAGCTTGGTGGTCAACATGTTGACCAAGCGTCAACATGTTGACGAGTCGGCAGTGAGAACGTGTTGGCATTTTATATAATTCAGGGATTAAATTTTAGTAAAGAAGATTACAGATCACTGTCAGAATTATATATTATGAGTAATTCAGTAAGGGAGGATGGATAGATGTCATTAATGTTTTTTTTATTGTATCAGACATGTTCTAACGCTAAGAATACTAATTCCATTTGTTTGTAAATGCMTAGAGGGATTATTTATTCAAAGGTAGGAGGATTTGCTGTAGGTGGAATTCCCTCACAGTAGAAGTGCCCCTCCCCCCACTCCTGACACTTCTCATGGCCATTCCCACCTKTCCACCCTTCCATATTCACTCCTGAGAGGGCATCGCAGACAGGCTGACTGACTGTCGACCAAAAAGTATCTCTCTGTTCTGTCATTCTCTCTCTCYAAGGTGGAACCCCACCCTCCTCAACCCCAAACAAAACAGGTTTTCTATATCAACCCCATAGCAACTCCACGGTTCCAAAACACCACGTCAAAGGTGCGTTTTTTTTTTCCCCCAGCTTCATCAACCCATCCAGCCTGCCCGCTCACCCACCCGCTCTGGTCTGTTCACGCAGCGTACCCTCGACATTCCCAAACATTTAATGTGCCCATGACGTTATCTCATCATTCCTCAAAGGGGAGGGTCGATGGAGAGGCAAACTGAGGAGTCAAAAGTAAAGACTGTGTGACTCTTAATGGCCTACAGAAAWTTTTTTTTACAAATCTATTCACATCAAAGAATTTCAGATGGATTACTTTTTAAAACCCCAGTGTTGATCAGTGTTACAAATGGAAACCTTTTGTTCTCAGTACTTTATTTACTATTGACTCTGAYGATTTTTATCCCGTTTTAACGCTGCACTACCAGTTCTCGTCTGCAGTCAGTGCTCAACCACCTGTCACTCTGCTTGTCTGCGGCGCTACATTTCCCATCTTGTGTTTGGCATTCTACCCGTCGGTTCTTTGATGTTATCTTGGCAAACTGTGTGTCATCAGGTGTGGGCTGCTGGGCATCTGAAACCACTCTCACTTCTTRTGAGCGAGAGTGGACCAAAGCTTAATGTGTGAATATCTGTGTGTATGTGTGTTTTGAAAAGTGCACAGTCTTGTGAGGCGATTGTGAGCTGTGCATATGMGTAWTAAGGGAGGTTTTGTGAGKAAAACACAAAAGACGTAAGTTGGGATTTAAATGTGTACATATCTTTATGACATGATGAGCTAAGAGTTCTTGTCCAAACTATCAGAAACTTTCTCAACCTGTGAAATTAAATCATGTATTTAGTGTGTGTGTGTGTGCAGCCATACTCATGCYGAAGACCGTCTCTAGTGCAAGATTTGGAAGTGTGTGAGAATAAGCTGTGAGAATATTGTCATACTAACACCTAAAAAACCCCAAAGAATGATGATTACATTGGAATATGTTCCCTGAAAACCTGCATTTTTATCTGATTTTTGCACTTCAAGCTGCAGAGAGCTCATTTCTCATCGAGTGGCTCTGTGTGTGGGTGTGTTTGAATGTGTTTGTCCTCAGCTGTGGGTGAACCAGGAGGACGGTGGGGCAGAGCCGGTCGAAGGGACCAGCGAGGTACAGAACGGGCACCTGGATCCAACCAATGACTGCCTGTGTCTGGGCTCACCCCTCCAAAACCGGGACCAGATGAGGGCTAACGTCATCAATGAGATCATGAGCACAGAGAGACACTATATTAAACACCTCAAGGACATCTGTGAGGTAGTAAACGTGTACACATCTGACAACACACACATTAATGTGCTATGCTTTTCTGGGCTACACCATATTGCATTTAATAAGAGCAGAGAGGTAGTAAATAGTAAGAAAATGAATCAACTGAAGCAGGTGTAAGATGCAAAGCAGCATTTTTTTTTCATGCTGTTTAGAATTTGTAACACTCCCACATTCACACTTATAGTCCCGGCATATTTTCTTTTTTTTTTTACTCTGGATTGAAAAGCAGTTCTGATAAATAGTTTTTATTSTGAGATGCAAAACCACAGGATGAGAGTTTTACACAACAATATTTGTAGTTTTTATTATWTGCATACAATGAAATATGTTGAAGTAGGGCTGGGTGATATGGCAAAAAAAAATGACCACGATTAATTTTTTCATATCGTCCTATCTCGATTAATATCACAATTCTTTTGTTAACCTAAAAAGTGTCTGAAAAGTAATTTAACAAATAAAAAGCTACAGAAATAAAAAAAAAATAACGGCTGTTTTTTTCACTTTCACTAATATAACAAATAGCTGTGGTTCAGTAGAACATTAACATGAAATTATTTTTGCAAGGTATTTAAAAAAGTAATTTCCAAGAAAAAAACATMATCATCATCATCACAATCATATAATCTCACATTAATAAAGTCATCCTTTTGTAAAATTAAAGTTTTAGAATTGAATTTCACATTAAATATGCCATGAAGAAACATAAACCCAACAAACAGCAGCAATTTGTGCACACATGCCAACTGAATAGGATGTAAGCTCATTATTTTTGTTATTGAAGGAAACCCCCCCCCCTCTCCCATTTGCAGTGCTTAATCAAACAAAAGACAACGCTGTTTCTTTTTTTTTAAACATCCGATTCTGCACAAATGTTGGATAAACTCCCAGYTTCTGAGTGTTCAGGAGTTTGCAGCGTCTCTCAGCTGCTGTTTGTGATGAGACTCAGACAGGAAGTGGTCTTCACATCACGTCCAGCCCATCGTGTGCCGATAAAATTTAGAGAAAAGTTCTTCTCCAGATAAATGAAGAACCGCTGGGACATTGTTCTGTCCTAAACGTTGCCCTAAGACCGCTTCATATTTTTGGAGGATGCTTTTGTTTTAGCGAGCCACTCATCRTGGCTCACGTTTCTTTTTCCCCCCTCCCTCGGGAGTGGAACTCAGTGCTCACCCTACGTGCCTGTTAGTAGGTAACAGCAGGTACAGGAAGCGACAGTGGTCAAAATACTTCAGAAACTCGCCCAAATAAGCGAACTCTGTAAGATTCAGCGTTTTGAACTGGATTACTTTGGTTAATTCTGTGATTTCGTCTGCGTTTCATTAGCAACTTATAAACGGAATTGGAGGAGGAGATGGTGGATTCTGATTGGCTGTTGTTGCGCACATTGCCTCCATGTTTGATTGAGTAAGAGGCTCACAGCTGATCACTGTGATCGACCTGAATTTTTTTTCTCGATCAATAATCGCGATCAAATAATCGCCCAGCCCTATGTTGAAAAGTGTAAAGAAGATAAAATTGACGCCATGTAAAATTAAACCATCATTATTTAGATATTTTGAGAGTTTTCATGAAACTTCAGAAGTTAACCTCTTAGTTTCAATAAAATCCTKGTCCGGACTAACATTCTAACCATATTTATTATCAGTTCATTTAAATTATTGTTTCTGTATCAGTAGAGAWATTACCATTCATTGCTTAATATTTYGGAGGTACTTGTGACTTGTGACGCTGAACAATTATGCACACAAAATCTTATTTTGTTTACACCAAGTAATATTAAGCATCAAGAAGGAATGGATTTGGACATACTTTGGTCATTTTAATTATTTGATTTGTTAACAGTTGGCACAACTAATGGGAACCAAGGGGCGTAAGTGATAGCATCACAAGTGGAGCAATAGTGTCATCAAGTAGTTTCTGGAGTGGCCAAATGTCAGTCAACTGACAACAGTCAACTGTCCCAATTCAGGGGTTGCAGCCTAYGTAGATCGCGGCCTATGGTGCCACACCCTTCGAAGTCTGTATAGGCTGATTACATATGTTTGTGTGACCATTCACTACCTTAGTGTTACATTTTATGTCACATCACTCTTAAAAGCTTAAAATTTWAAATGCATTGAAMATGTATTCACACTTCATTTCACGGGAGGTACAGTACAACTTCCCACATTTCAAGGTAAACATTACACAAAGCACCAGTATCAGTACTTGCAATGAAATTTTATTTAACATCACATTGCAGCATAAATTTCATCAGCTAAGTTGCTATATRTTAAATTCTTTGGTCCATGATGACTTTCCAAACTCAGCCGTTTTCTGTTTCCTGTAAAAACTGATGATGGCACAATGAATCCTGGGATATTGTGGACCATGAAGGACTGTCAGATGCAGCTTTATTGTTGAGGTTTTGAGGGCTGTGTTTGTCGGCCGCATGAGAAGGAGCTCACAAAATAGGACAGCCTTGACCGTGTTGCCGTGACGTAACCGACCTACAAATGTGCACTACGGAGGACTCAGCCCCTGAATCGAGACACAACCAGTGTACAAGTTTCTGGCATATGTGGTGTTCAGATTTGACAATGGCCTGAGCCACTGGGTACATGTGGGCGCCCCACATGAGACKTGAAGGTTCTGATCATCCAGAGCATATCACACCAACAGTACTAACTCCATATTGCAAGCCAAGTGTTTCGGAACATTGTGGCCTTTTTACAACAACTTGTGTCATCCTGCACCATTTCTCAACAACATCAGTAAAAATAAAGGTTCACTGTCCCACTGGCTGTGCCACGCAAAAGTTATGTAAATAAAGAAGAGCAAATGAAAAACAGAGAAGAGTATTGATGATGTCACATTACAAACTGGCTAATATTGAGACAAACCCACAAAAACACAAGCTAGTTATGAMTGATTCAGTCTAAAGTTCAAGCTGCAGCATGGGGGTGTATCAGATAAAACAGATAAGTCTGCTGCTTTTGACTTTGGGTGGTTTTTCATGCACATTTTTGCTTATCTTATCATTGGTTCTGATCCTTTGTACGTCCTTTGTTTGTACTGTGGATGGAGCGTAATGTTGAGAAATAGTTGCAATGAAGCATGAATTCCACCTCCTCAGCTTCTTGCGAGTGCGTGCACGCTGCATTCTATATCACCATTTCTTGTCCTAACCTTTTTCTACAGGGCCTGTCATGTAGTACACAGTGTTAATTCAGAAATCAATCGAAAGAAAAAAAATGCTAAAATCAGTGAATATGATTACTTGACATCTTGATATTTTCGCAGAATGCTCCGTTCGGTGACCTTTAGCCTGACGGTAACTGCCTCTCGTATTGTTGCAGGGTTACCTGCGCCAGTGTAGGAAGCGTGTGGACATGTTTAATGACGACCAGCTGAAGGTTATCTTTGGAAACATTGAGGACATTTACCGCTTCCAGATGGGTTTCGTTAGAGATCTGGAGAAACAGTACAACACAGAGGAACCGCACCTCTCTGAAATCGGGCCATGCTTTTTAGAACACGTAAGTATTTTCCAGATTTTTTGTGGTTTATTCATTAGGAAAGTGAAAGAAAGGCTAAATCCCACAGTTTATCTAACAGCAGCTAATGATTTTGTTGTGTTATCTCAAGACTTGAGCTAAATTAAATTGGCACCTTGAGATAACATCTAAATTTTCTTTACCAATTACCTGCATAGATTGGAAGGTCCTTTYCCTTTTATTTCAAATGAATCATTCTATCCATTATCCTGCCCGATCACGAATCGCTGCTTTTTTCACATCACAGCAAGATGGTTTTTGGATCTACTCTGAATACTGTAACAACCACTTGGATGCCTGTATGGAGCTGAGCAAACTGATGAGGGACGGCAGGTACCAGCATTTTTTCGAGGCTTGTCGCCTCCTCCAGCAAATGATCGACATCGCCATAGATGGCTTCTTGCTCACGCCGGTTCAGAAAATCTGCAAATACCCTCTCCAGCTGGCTGAGCTTCTTAAATATACTGCACAGGAACACAGGTACAGTCTGCTTTTGTCAACATGACATTTAATCTATAGTGTTTGTTGCAGTTCTCATGGTGATTTATTGGTTAAAAGAGAATGTGGTACTGATGCATCATTGTGTTCAAGATGCATTGTGCTGCAATGCAGCTCTTGCAGGGGTTGGATTTATTCTTCTCTGTGGTAATTACCCATGCATGAACTGAAACAAATGTTGTTTTGCACTGTTTAATCAGCGTGCTCATGTTATTGAAATAAATTACAATTTATAAGCGCCTCATTGTATTTTCTAGCAGTACGTGATGATGTGGATAGTGCACAGGACAAATTTAATATGAATTGAGKCTTTCTGTGGTACGTGCTGTGAGCATTATTCTAAGTTTTTTTTAGATACCGCATGGAACATTAAAGAAGCCGAGTTAAAAATGTAAACGTTTGCACGTRTGCTCCCATGCACATGTACACAAGTGAGCATTCAGTTGTGCAAACTCATGCACACAGAAAAATAGTGCGAGTAATTGAGCGCTTCTCCGCCAGCTTCAGGTCATTCACAAACCAAGCATTCTCAGCCAGAGAGGGACAGGTGCCAGCTCTGCCAGGAAGTGCTTGCCAGATCTCAGTGTTTCACTGTTCGAGAGCTGCAGAGAATCTGCCACATATAGGCCTGTCTCACTTGTACGCACAACACTGTGACACACACACATGCCAGCTTCCAAAGTGAGGATTGGATCCATRGAACATCTAAGCCAGAGGGATAAATCCAGCTCAGTTAGCATAGAGGCTGTCAGACTTAGCTGTGAATAAAGAGATGGCTGATTCAAATTAAATAGGCTGTGTGCTAATGTGACTGTATTCCAATGGACTTACCTCAGTTTATTACCACTATCTTTAATAGGCTGCTCTTTATCATTCACTAACCCAACATTATATGTCTTTGAGTGGCCAGCCTCCAGGGCCATAACTCCACCCTTAACACTCTGAAGTAATTACGTATACATTTTGTCTGTAGTGACTATCGATACGTGGCAGCAGCCTTGGCTGTGATGCGAAACGTCACTCAACAGATCAATGAGAGGAAGAGGAGGTTGGAGAACATTGACAAGATCGCCCAGTGGCAAGCATCGGTTCTCGACTGGGAGGTACGTGAAAAATATTTTCTTTCTTTCTCAGTCCAAACTATAGTGTTTTATTCAAAAACTTTAAAAAACATTTAGACTGTTAGACACTTCTAGCATATTGTTAAATACCACAAATGCTTCCATAATTGTTAGCGCCAAACATCAGGTAATAAATGTTTTTGCCTGAGTGCGTGTCTTTGTGATCTCAGCAGAACATTTCAATAATCACTGAACAGATTTCAATGAAGCACCCAGAAAACATTAAATGTRTACATCTACATCTATAAACCTTTGGGTTCAATCTGACTCAAGATTAGCTGCCACAGCTAATAGATATTAGCTAACACCTAAATGYCTATAACTTAGTCTGTTTCCCATATATTAAGCWAAAATTTGGCATGGTTAGTAGCTGAGTCATTCCAAGCATCAACAGATTGCGTTCGATTTTACTGTATGTATTTTCAAGCATACATGTCAAACTGAATGGCTTTGTTTGTAAATTACACAGATTTTCCTCCATTTTGCAGGTATCCAGACATATAGGGTAATCTCACAAATTTTTTCAAAAATTCTGCTTCAAATTTATTTTATGTCTCAGAACATGTAGGACGTAAAAAAAAAAATAAAATAAAAAGATTAAATAACCATCTCCCAACTTGCTTAACCTCTGCTCATCATCCAGTTCCCCCTCCTTATTTAGTTCTGGTTGTCCCACCCCCACCCTGCATGTGAGAGTAATCATGGTTTTTTTTCTGAAAATTRTGTTAATTTAACACTGGCATGAAAAGTGGTGAAAAATGAAGTAATATGCATTCCTTTAAAAAATACTTTAGAAGTCATGAAAAATGTTTTTTAAACTCACACTACAGAAATCAGAATAATTGTTTCCCCACAGATCATCTTTTTTTTATTTTTTCAGCTTTTTGCTGCATTTCGTACTTGATAAAAGTACATATCTACATTGTTTCATTTCTCCAACCACAAGGTGAAATTCTCACAACAGATTGTTGCAGAGATTGCTGCACTGTGGCAGAGGAAGGAGATGTAGCATTCCCAGGGAAAAAAAAAATGTTTTCTTTTAGAGAATATAAAGTCATGAATCGGGGAGTAAACTCTCCGATGCTTGCTCTGCCGGATGTCTTTTGTAGACGATTTTAGCTTTGAGTCAATAAATCATCACAATCATTCAACACAATAGGAAGCTGCTATAAAGACTGACTGACTGCTGTGTTTATGATTCTGTCAGTACACTATAGACAGATACCAAGTTTAATTTTATTAAATTAAAAAAATTTACAATATGTCCATACAATTATTTTTCCTTTCAGATTTATACCTTAAGTCCTAAATTGAAGATATGTCTATAATGACTGATCTAATGTTTCACCTCATTTGACACTAAAATGTTTTATAATTTCTTGTTTTGTTTAATGTCTCAGACTTCTAAAATATTAATGAGCTCCTCAAAAATATAACTACTGCATAACTGTTTCGTAACTGTTTCCAAAGGCTGAGTGCATCTCGCCTATAATGGGTAAATTGACTGTAACTGCACCAAGTACAAGTGTCCTTTTTCTTCAAGCCTGTCGGTGTTTGTGTCTAGGGAGATGATATCTTAGACAGGAGTTCGGAGCTTATCTACACCGGGGAGTTGTCATGGATCTATCAACCATACGGACGCAGCCAGCAGCGAGTCTTCTTCCTCTTTGATCACCAGCTGGTACTTTGTAAGAAGGTAAGCTCTTTCTTTCGCTGTTTTTTGTTCCTTTTTTCTGCCTTTTATTGCTCAGACTTTGTTGGGTGAAAACAAGCTGGCAGCTCTAATAAATCCCCAGTTTGTGTTCCTGAAAGTTGTTGTATCACATGGCTGGTAGGAGTGATCCTTGAAGACAGTGTGACTTCATGCAACCTCAACGAGGAGTTGAAAACAGATTACATAATGCCGGATGAGACACACCAGTCCTCCGGGAAGACACGTTCAAATCCTCAGCGCATTTCACAAAATGGAGCTGTGGTCGTTTGGGCTCTAATGCACTTGGGCTGTTATCCTCTCTGTCAAACGAATGTTTGTGCTTCGCTGGACTCAATGCATGCACTGAGACAGAGACACAAATGCATACAGACACTTAGACACAAACATGCACAGAGGCCAAATAACTACATTATCGCGCGCGCACACACACACAGAGGAGCAACAAATGCTACACTACAAAGATAATCACATAGGAAAAAGGATMAAATGAAATAGACATACAGAACCCTTGGTGATTCAGCAGAGTTCTCTTTTGTCATGCGGCAGACCAATGGATCAGTGCATTAGAGCAGTGGTGCCGAATTCTTCTTCCTGCATGYATCCTGTGTATTTTAGATGTTCTTCTGCTTTGACACAMCCAACTTGAAGGAATGGGTGATTAACAGGCTTCTGCAGCATTTGAAGAAACGTTGAAAATTGAGGAAACAAGTGTAACATGGAAGATAGTGGCCTTCGAGGACTAGCGTTGGGCACCACTTCTTGTTTTCTTGAGTTAGCCTAGTTTTTTAGAGGTACCTCTAAAATGTCCCTAGGTGTGGGTGAGTATGAAAGGTTGGCTGTCTTCATGTGTCCTTGAGGTGGACTTGAGACCAGTTCAGGGTGTACCCCRTTTCTTGCACAGTCACTGCAGGGGATAAATATAAGCTCTCTGTGGCTTAAAGAAAATGGATGGATGGCAGATACACATATTGTGTTTTTGTTTTCCTATTTTTTTTTTTTGTCTTTCTGTTGAATATTTGGTTTTGTATTTCTCTTATATCTACAGTAAAACATGTATAAGTGTTTCTACCAGCCCTCTGGATGTATTACAAATATTAACTTATTTCTAACAATAAAGCAGGAAAATACAACATACAGAGTTAAAACCACTCGAGGAAAAAAAATCTGTCCATGCTGTTGTCTTTCTTATTCCAATAGCACTCAATACAGTAGAATTTACAGAACKTATTCATTCCTTCACAATAAGARTCTCAAACATACTCACATATTGTTAACTTCAAAATACTCTCAGATAATTTAAAGMAGTGGTTCAGAAACATTTTATACTGAAAGCCATTTCAGTAAATACTAAGCTCTGTAAGTACCACCATTTAAAGGGATCCCTGATTAGTTGTAACATTAGACTTTATTTGATAAACATATATTTTAACTATAAAATAAAGACTGTAAAAATACTCAGCGGTCCACTGTAGAAAGACAGGTCCCGGGGCCGAAACTGCGAGGGCTTCGTGGAAATAAAAAGAATGAGAAGAACAAACGGATGAACGGCCTTTGTTTCAGCGTTAGCTCCGATGCKTTCACCRTATACTGTATATGTATTAGCTCAGCGCTACACATTGTCCTCTCGTCACTGAGGTCCTCCATCCACATGACAGAGAGGGGAACRMAAAAATGACTCAGTCTGCAACTGAAAATATGGATGGAGGACCTCAGTTTAGCTTGTTTGTCGCGCTAGTGCCGAGCTAATACATATAAGGCAATATAGCATCAGCACTAGCGCAAAGRCTAACAGGCTAAGCTGAGGATCTTCTTCCATGAAGCTGCTCTGTTGTCCTCCATCCATATTTTCAGTTGTAGACTGAATCGTTTCAGCCTTCTCTCTGTCAGCGTTCTCTGGTTTCATTTAAAAGAGTCGATCATCAGATATTGTCCAAGATTAACCTTCAGGGTGGATATAGCTCGCTAGCAGCCTCGCACCGATGACCTAGTTGACATCATTATTTACCCAGAATGAAATTGCTTGTAAATAAAATGGCTCCTTCCATGTTAAAATATATTTTTAAAAATTTACAAGACTAAACAGCCTACAGTATTTTTACAGTCTTTATTTTACAGTTAAAATATGTTTATCAAATAAAGTCTAATGTTACAACTAATCAGGGATCCCTTTAAAAAAAGAATGAAAACAGTAGTATATTATATGACAAAGTATGTACAGTACATGCTAACTGAGCTAGTCAGACTACAAAGGGTACAATTTAAAGTGTTATAGTTGCATGTCGTAGTTGAGAAGAACAGCAATACACACATTGCAGTCCTCAATGTTTTGCACCTTTTGTTGCTCGGAGGTCCTAAAGCAGTTTCATTGAACCACTCAGCTTTATCTTTTACTTTTACATTACAGTTTAGCTTATGACAGTTTGTTAACTTATTTAATTTGTAAATAGTTCTTACAAAAATCTCTGAGTACTGGAGAGATTTTAAGTACCACCAGTACTTGTACCACAGTTTGAGAGCCATCACTCTAAAGCTTAAACATATGTTTACAACAGCTATTGTTGTTCTCACATTCCTGCCTAAAGTGTTAGAAAATGTGAAAAATAATTTTAAAAAAACGTTGGGTTCAGCTCCTTTTGTAAATTATTGTACGTATCCTAAAATAATTTCTGAGTAATTAAAACTCGCTTTGAAGTACAATGTCATTGGACAATTCACACAAATTTTTATAGCAGTTTTTTTGTTCCAACAATGGTTTGTTTGGTTTTTGAGTTGCCTTTCAGTCTCAAAATAACAACTGTACTTTCATCTTGTCAGTGTAGAGTCATTAGGAAATAGACGTCATAAAAGATCATTGGTGTTCCTCTATGAAATACAAACTGTGATWTTTTTCATCTGTTAGCTGATATTAGTAATTTATTTTTTTTATTTCCTCTTTAAGGCTGGAGTCCATCTAATGTGACAAGTTCACTGAAAGATTTTGTGTTTTTGGAAGAAGCTCCTCATGCTCCAGTGCAGTTTATATTTGAGTCACTTAATCAAACACTTTATTTGATTTTGACAATTGATTTTAATTTTCCTGAACAGATTTAGTGTCGGAAATATGAATATTTGGATTGATTTTATCATTAACATGTTTACATTTTCACTTATTCAGTGGGAAAATCTTATTTCTAGGGAAGTRGAGTGAACATTTAAACCCACAAACACACACTCAGTAAACTGCAGGASAGATTTACTGAGAAACCTGTGTGTGGAATGTGTTTGTATGTTTGGGCAGCAGATGGACAGGGCGGTACACGCCATGCTCTCAGGATAGCGAAGGAGAAATACTTGTTGACAGCACACACATATTTACAAGCCTCTTCCTTTGCTCCTCACCAGGACCTGATACGCCGGGACAGCTTGTACTATAAAGGCCGCATCGACATGGATCGTTACGAGGTTCGGGACGCCATCGATGGGCGGGACGACGACTTTAATGTCAGCGTCAAGAATGCCTTTAAGTTGTTCAACAAAGACAGCGAGGAGATCCACATCTTCCTGGCCAAAAAGCCCGAGGAGAAGATCCGCTGGCTCAGGGCCTTCCACGAGGAGAGGAAGATGGTGCAGGAGGATGAGAAAATCGGTAATCACATCCCTTCTGTTCCTCCTTGTTTGGAAACACTTTCATTTAGGTAGTAGCTCACTGCAACCGTTGAAGATTAGATGGTGTTTCAAAATTGCAAAAAAAAAACCCAGATAAAATAGACAAGGTTTTCTTTTGCTAAATGCTGAACATCTATGACCACCAAATTACAACTTGCATGACCAATTTTTGAAAGCCATGGCCTATTTTTGAGTGCAGTTTGCAAAACTTTAGTAGGCATTTGTTGCCCACCCCCCCCACACACACACACATTGTACCACCTCAGCATCCACCCTCRCATTTAAGATTTAATCTGCTGGACCACACTTCTAAAATGCAGATAGGTAAATGTGGACCAGTGTTTTTGTTCGTCATTGGTGTGGTGTTTCTGTTACACACGTAGAGGAAACTGGACTGATGGGTTCCAAACTCTCTTTAACATGTTTTACATCAAACAATAAATACTACTGTGAGTTCCTCAGTTTAAAACACATCCGTGATGAAATAATAATGCACAAAATAAAGAGGAATGAACACAAAATGGTCTGTAAATGTGGTGCTAATTCAAGCTAGCTTGTAGCACTGTTAGCTCACAATATATTCAAATAAAATAAGGATTTCGGCTCTGACATTAAACATTTAACACTGTGTAGACACAGAAAAATATTATCCAACATTTTAATGTGKAAATATGTCACTTGTGAATCGTGAATTATAACAAAAAAAGTGGTTTGTRTCAGGGCCCAAGTACAGTACAGTTTACCTTCTGCATTGGCTACATGACTATGCAGTAGGATAACTCACAGTTTAGCTCAAACACAGGGAGTACTATAAAACTAACTAGTGCATTAATGATTGATAAGTGATATAATGAACTAGAATAGAAGAATAGAATAGAAACAGCCTTTTTTGTCCCACGGAGGGGAAATTCAGTTGTAACAGCCAACCCGTTCTCTTTCCCAACTCGTTTGACGCTTGGTCAGGTAGGGTCTGCGTCCAGTTTTGGACGTGTCGGGTACCCCCTTCCCGTCAGTTCTTAACGAGATGAGACAAAGGAGGAGGAGTGCGTTGTCATATTTTGAAAGGAGTAGGAAATACACGACAACTAACCGCCCTAGACCCTAAATTTAACTTATGTTAACCCTTTACAGCCTATYTCTGACCCCAGTACCTAAAATTAACYATTAATCCTGATCTCTCATATWAACCACAGACCCCCAACCCAAAGACCCCTAAGTGGCACAAACCGGAAAAGCCRCGGKTGTGAATAATTGACACGAGTGGGGTACCTGTTGTGGCRAAACTGGACACAGACGGTACCTGACCAAACGTCAACATGGTGACGAGTCGGGAATGAGAACGTCTTGTAACAGCAGCAGCATCAGTTCACAAAAAAACATCATATTGCTAAGCACCAATAGTAACAGTAGTAGTGGTAATAGAATAGAAATAACAATAAAAATTCTAAATAAAAGTAAACAACATACTGTACATGACAATAAAAAATAAAATATGATACTGTGCAGTTAAATTACAGTGAGGTAAACTACTTGCAAGTACT